CAGGTTGCTGACACATGATAAAATAGCAAGAGTTTCCAAGGAGAGATTAAAGAGACAGGAAAGGAAAGAGGGGAGAGTCTGTAGACAATCTGTGCCTGTCTTGACTAGGTTGTGAGACCTGTTTAGATGCAGAGACTGTGCATTGCAAAGCTGACAGACTGTTCTGTTTTCTAGAGTACTGGAGGACTATAGAGTGAAATTCCATCTTCCTCTGCCTCACTCCACTCTGAATCTGATGGATGCTTAGGGAAGAGCTACTCAGCTGCCTTGCAGGCACCTACATTGGTCTGAGGACTGGGCTCCATTGCTCTGGAAATCCAACTCTCAATGGAGATTTCCACAGTGTACATTTCAAATGGAGTGAAACAAATCTAAGATTTAGGGAATCACAGAATAACAGAATGGTTTGGGTTGGAATAGACCTTACAGATCATCTATTTCCAACTCCCTCCCATAGGCAGGGACACCTTCCACTAGACCAGCTTTCTCCAAGCCACATCCAACCTGGCCTTGAACACTTCCAGGGAAGGGGCAGCCACAGCTTCTCTGGGCAACCTGTGCCAGGGCCTCACCACCCTCACAGGAGAGAATTTCTTCCTAATATCCAATCAAAACCTACTGTCTTTCAGTTTAAGTTCACTCTCCCTTCTCCTATCACTCAAGTTCCTGATTTGCAAAACCACTTAGCAAAGCACTAAGACAATCTACTGCTGATCTACAGCCTAGGGTCAGGGTGGGAATTTATTCCCTCTTCATCCTTTCCTTGACGTCTTGGGAAATGCCCCATGGGAGGCATTTCAAACTCCCACTGTGACTATGTGGGCACTAGTCCATTCCCATTGACTGAAAAGGTCATTTTTACTTTCTCATCGGATCTTCACCCTTCAGAGGGGCTGTCCTTGAGCCTGGGATATCTTGTGAGTAATGACCAAAAACGATTTCATCATCAGACTTCCACATCTTCTAAGGCTGTAATGAAACAAAAGAAGGGAATGTAAATTAGTGATATCCTGCTGGGTAAGTAGTTAACAAGATGGAAGCATGTGGCCTGACCCTGTGGGATGCGGGTGGTCCATCCGTCCCGTTGTGCTTCTCTGGTGAGCAAATCTGAAATTCCCACAGGTGAACAGGCACAGGTCAAGAACAGAGGCTGCAAGGTTTCTTCAGCCAACTTCTGTTTTGAATATTATGCTTTCACTTGTGAACCCTGAGGAATTCAGATCTCAAGGCAGAGGAAATGTTGGAAGAGGTCAAGCGAGCTGTGCTCTCTTAGTGTCACTTGGAGCAGCAAACAGCCTGCATTCCACGGCAACATCTGATTTTCTGCTTTTACAAGGCAGATGTTTAGGAGAAGTGATCTGCTGTTTATTTTAATTGCCATCTTCCAAACCTCTTTCCTACGTGCGCGCACACATTCAGAGACCATAAATAAGGATTCTTCAGATTATGCCGCTATTTGGGTAGCTGGCCCTGTCTTCCATCAGTGCCTGGACAGGGCTGTGTGCTGCAAACCCTGTTCCCCCTGCACATCAGTTTTACTGTAGCATAAATTAATTAGGTCTAAATCCTTTCTCAATGACACGAGCATAAATCTGAAATTGCTCCGCTGACGTCAGCTGATGGCAGTGGAAAGGAGAGTTAGACTCCTTGACTTCAGAATGTTGCTGATTTACACCAGGACAAGAGCAAAAGAACTTGGGCTCAGCATGTTCTAGCACTGTGTTACTGAACAGCAGGCCAGAATTTGCTCTGGGGTACAATGATGACAACAGAGATCAGTTCCATGGATTTTGCTGGCATCAAATTGATGAAAATGAGTCGTAACTTCACCACAGTTTGGGCCTCAAAGAGCTCCATGTAGTAGGTCATTAATGAAAAGAAAGGATAAAACAATGCTCCTGTGTAAAGTGATTAGTCCCACTGTCTGACACCATTCCAGGAGTGTCATACAGGGAGGAATCCAACCATTTGGCTTGTGTTGTGATGATGGAGAGCAAGGCAGCAGTATCCTCATATCTTGATGAAAACCAGGCAGAAGTTCATGGAGGAACTGCTGGTCCCAGCTGAAGGTAGAGGGGCATGTGTGTGGAGGAACTGCCCTTGCAACTGGTGCCAAGAGCTGGTCTGTAAGGGTGGGAATGCTGGCTGCAATTTTCTCCTCCAAGAGGACACAAAGAGTTGTAGGCACCCTGTGCTGGTAGCATTCAGGGTGTTAATCCTTACTCACTTATTTCTCTAGATTTTCCTACACTTTGTTTCTAATGGTTAGAATTGAGAGTCTATAAAAGAGATGCCAGTCCCTCTCTCTGCAGTGGCTTCACCTTTCAGACTGTGGGTTTAAGCAGAAGGAGACACAAACTAGAAGCTGTAGGGCTTCCCAAACAACCTTGCTGCTTAAGGAGACTTTGGCAAAGAGTGCCTGGATTTCTGGTGACTGCTTTATAGAAGTTAGAGAGCCCAGTTGTCACCTCAAAGTCCACCAGCCTTGCTCCACGAATGCCACTGGAGACAAGCTGATTTACACCCCTCTTCTGTTGGCATCTGGCCAATCTCTTAATTGTTCATAAGAGACTTTTTTAATAGCACACGTTTGCTCTCAGTGGCTTTGTTTGCCCACAGTGAAGTGCAGTCATGTGTGGTGTAGCTGCTTTAAAGCAGCAGATTGAAACAAGGTCCGTGTGAACCACCAGGTAACCTGGGGCTGCCACAGAGCAGGACACGGGTTTCAGGAGCCCAGCCTGATTCTGTGATCCCATTGACAGGACCTCCCTGTCCCACACTCAGAAGGTGGCCCCATGGAGATGGAGTGAAAGCTAAGAGAGCACAGCTCCAGTTTTACCACCCATTTTGTTCTCACTAGAGGTGGACAACTTGACTGATGCCTTCACTGGTAGGGAGTGGTGGAGTTTGCCAGAAGTGAAACAAAACTGTGATTATTGTCATGGAAACCAGAGCCTGAATGTGAAGCTCATCCAATGGGGCAACAGGAAGAGGACATTGGACTTCCTCTCCTATCAAACTGTGTGTGCCTTGGATTTGGAACACCAGACAGTCACTATTATAAAAACCTTGTCATGAGATATCAAGAAGCATTGGCTTCCTTTGTACTCCTGGGAAGAACTAAACCAGGCTCTTGGGGACTGGCCTGTGAAGGATGGGGTTTCTTAGCAGCACCACTCTAAAGAGCAAAACTCTTTCCAGTTATGACAGGCAGCAATTAAACCACAGTGGCTGAGGGATGCAGAGTTGGAAACATAATCTTGCTGTGCTTTGTGGCTCTACTTCCTGAATGCAAACATTCAATTATTTTAGAGTATTCCCTCTTCCTTCTCATTCGAACTTTACAAGTGGCTTTGCCCTGGGAGCTCATGGCATGGTTCTTGTTTTCTTGCAAGCTTACAAGCTCCATCTGTAGGATTGTTGAAGAAGAGCTCTCTGGCTTCAAGCTGATGAAAAAGGGCAGAGAAGCTTCACTCTGAGTTTCCAGACTTGTTCTGGAAAAACTCCAGCATGCTTAGCATACCACACTGCAGAAAGACACTTGATTTCGTCATCTGTCCTTCATATTTGGGGAGAGCTTTCCACCCTGGTTAAACTGCTGGTCCTTGGTCCTGTGCTGCATGAATGTGAGGCTGAGGCTGTTGCCTCTGGAATGGTAGAGCTGGTATTATTTCACAAAGGAAAACTCAGCAATATTCTAAATAGATCATGAGCTGAAAGACTTTTGGGTAACAGTTGTCATAAAGAATTGTAGTGACAGGACAAGGTGGAATGGCTTCAGGCCGTAAGAGAGTAGGGTTAGACTGGATATTAGGAAGAAATTCTTTACTGTGAGGACGGTGAGGCACTGACAGAGGTTGCCCAGAGAAGCTGTGGCTGCCCCTTCCCTGAAAGTGTTCAAGGCCAGGTTGGATAGGGCTTGGAGCAATTTGGTCTAGTGTGAGGCATCCCTGCCCATAGTAGGGGTTGGAATGAGATGATCTTAAAACATTCCATGTTTCTGTGATAGAGTTGTGATCCCTTTAGGTTCTGATAGCCCACAGTGCCCCATGTAGAAAACTAAACAGCAGTGATTGACATGTTCAAATCATCTAAATCCAGTTGATTTAGCAAATCAGTTTCTCCTCAACCTGGTATTTAACACTTGTCAGCCCCAGCCCACACTTCCCTGCACAGGCTGCACCTGCAGAGCTAATTGCAGTCCATGGGGGCTGTTTTTAGGAGGAGAAAACACAAAAGGTGAAAGACTTTCTTCCTTTTGTGCAGAGTACAATCCTTGCCAGTAAGGTGAGGTACAGACTGGGGTTGTGAATGTTTGGAAAAGGATGTGTGGATGGAAGGAAGGAAGGAAGGAAGGAAGGATATACTTTGCAAGGCAGATGGAGTGTGAGTAGTCCTTTTAAAGAGATGCTGGCAACTAACACTGTTGTGAATTATCTCTGTCATGTTGGAACTTCATCTTCTATTTGCACAAGAAATATAACTTCATTTTAGATACCAAGAATTTTTCTGAGAGAGGCATTGTGTTCCCAAAGAACAGATATGTTTTTTTCCTTTGTGTAGATCCATTCTGGCTTTAAACCTGCTTTCTTCTCACATGCACAGATGATAATCTTTTACATGTACTTATTAAAAAATATCACTTTCAAAAATTAAAAACACAGGCATATTCTGTACTTGTTCCTTTCTTTACCTCATGATTAATTTCCCATTTTCCCATCTGACAAGTCTGTCATTTGAGTATCTCCACAATCAAGAAAAGCCCATTTTTTTCCCTTTTGTAGATTCACTGATATTAAAAGTAGAAAGAAATGTGTTCTCATCTCCTGGGCAGCTGACCTGTTTGTAGAGATGTATCTATTTATCTTTAGTGTGAGGATGATGAGGCCCTGGCACAGGTTGCCCAGAGAAGCTGTGGCTGCCTTATCCATGAAAGTGTTTAAACCCCAATCTCTTCTGTGCTAAACTAATGGTTTTTTTCTTTCTTCTCTATCCCACAGAGATCCCTGGGTGTCCAGGAATGGTCAAGAGTTGAATGGACCAACCTCTCTTCCTCACCATCCTGAGCTCATGAGGGCTCTGAAGAGATTGAGTGGGAGCACAGCCTTGCTTCCCTGAGCCTGGGGATGCTGTGGGAAGTGATTGCCTTGGCAAATGTCTTCATCCTAACCCATAGCCCATCGTGCATCACCTGAAGAAGAAGCTGGTGAAAGATAACCAGGGGACCAGGAAAGGCTCTGCTAGCCTTGGAGGACACCAAGGCACTTTGCAGGAGTCACTGCTTGTGGAACCAGCTCTGGAAAGAGGCTACAGGAGCCCTGTGAACTGAAGGAGAGGGATGTCTAAATCATGATAAAAAGTAGAGAGGTTTCCTGGGCACAGCAACCTTGGAAAGCACTTTCAAAAGGGGAGTACCAGGACCACGTGGTCATCTCCAGTGTCTGATTTGGAAGAGGCACAGCAAGGTCACTGCCTTATGGTCAGGTCAGGAGACCAGCAGGATGCCTGTTCGCGTGCTGGTTGGGGATCCAGATGAAACAGGAATCTGTCCAAGACCAAGAGAGAAGAAGTGTGGAAGATTGCTTTGACTTACTCTGTGCTTGTTTCTCCTTCTGGTGTCTTCTCTGTCTACTTCTCTGTAGGCCCATATACATCATATGGGGCCCAGAGTCTCACAAACAAGCAGAAGGATTGGCACAGGGCAAGTCCTGCCCAGTGCAGATGCAATTTGGCCTTTGTTTGTTCCTTGTGCCAACAAATGTGCAACTGTCATGCCTGGACTTCAGACAGGAGAAAGGCTGGAACCTGACAGTTGTTTCACTTGCAAGCAGTCACATTCTAGCATGACCAGCCACCCTTGGGAGCCAAGTTGTAACACCTGAGCCTCAAAACATCATAGAGCATCTGTCCCTCTCCTGCAGCTGTGGGAAGGAGCATATGGACAGGCTGCATGCTCAGCTCCTGCTTCTTGGATTGGGAAAAACTCATTAAGCAGTGAAAGACACAGATGTGGAGGGAGTGACGGATCTCAGGCAGAAAACAGTAGGAAAAACTGACTAAAAACCATAGGAAAATGTGCACCTTTGACTTGCAGGTGGTGCCCCAGCTGTGGACTGTCATGCCCAGCTGGGTAGCTGCAGATGTCTGGTCGCTGAGCTGCTCCCAGAGGCCTGGGCAAAACATGCTGGTACCAAACTGTGCCGGGAGCCCCATCTCAGACCTTCTCTCCTGGGCCTCCAGCTGCAAACCTCTTCCCTCATGTGCAATTGTATTTATTTATTTATTTTCTTGCTGCTTGATGTGAAGCTGCTAAATGAACCACCTCCCCACAAACACCCTCAGCCAAGAGAGGATGGAGGGAGGGGGCGTGTGGTGTGTCTGTGCAAGGGGACTGAGCAGAGGGGCAGGAGAGAGGGACACCTTCCAGGAGTAACCTTCTAGCGGAAGCTGTCCTTGTCCATGGTGGAGAGGTTGGACTAGATGATCTTTAAGGTCCCTTCAAACCCAAACCATTCTGTGATTCTATGATAAGCCTTGAACGAGATGCCTCATCCCTGGAAGTGTTCAAGGTCAGGTTGGATGGAGCTCTGAACAACCTGGTGTAGCAGGTGTCCATTCTATGATTCTATGATGTGGACATGCCTACAGAGGGAGCATACAAGGCAGGAGGAAAAGGCTGCAGTGAAACCCCAGTCTCCCTAGGGTGAGGGTGCAATTTTGCTCTGTCAAGAACTAAGGACAAGCTGGGTAGAGCTTTGTTGGGAAGGACAGCAGGACAGCTGCAGCCTGCATAAGCTTGGGAATGTCCCTGTAGCCAAATGTCCTCCATGCATCTGTGCTTGTGCAGGACATTGTGCGAGTTGCTCACCCAGGTTGTGCCCTCCCAGCACTCCCTGAAGCAAACTTACAGTTTCTACATTTGTAGGAGGACATATCCCCAGCCAGGCAAGTTTTCACCAGTGTGTTCACTGAGGTTATTAAACCAGGTATTAACCTGGCAGCTTTTTCTGCTCTAGACATCCATCACAGACCCATTTGACACAGCCAGTTTGAGACCAGCCTCTCGAGGCAGGGCTGTAGCTGTGCTGTAGTGGTTCATGCTCAGCCTTGGCTGTTCCTACCCTTCTACCCCTTTTGCCTAAAAACTGGCACACCAGCAGCATCCACTCATGGCCAGATATCCCATTTTATGGAAAGTCTGTCTGTCCTACTGCAGAGGGGAAAAATTTCTCTGGGAGAGGGCGGCTGTCCAGTGCCCTGCTACTCTCCCACAGCTCCCACGCTCAGGAGGGACCAGGCTACACTGACATCCCTTGGTGCATCTCCCAGCTGCTCCAGGAAAGCCTGGCTTCTCCCATACCCTTCCCTCTGAGACGCCCCAGCAAGGCTTTGTCCAAACCTGTGTGGCTGCTGACTGGAAATATTTCCCAACAAAACCTGTTCCTCCTAAGATTCTTGGCTGGTTCTAGTCACTTATTATGTACTGGAAACACTATCCGTGGGATTAGTTTTCAGGTTAGAGACATGCATGTAGTTCTTTTTCTCACAAATCCCCTGATGTGCAAGAGCAGGTTGCAGCAAGTGGAATGGATGCACTTGCTCTGATCATTTGCCAGCATGGCCCAAAAGCAGTGACCTGCTCATTGCTGATCACTGCCTTGCAGAGTTGTACGAGTTGGAGACAGAAGAGGTGTATTACAAATCCATCTGCCTCTGACCCTTCAGGCTTGTTCCATATATTACTTACTGGTGGTGTGCTGGGTCTATTTTTAAATGCCCTGACACCAGGGTTATTGTGCTGTCCTTTGGGAGACTGCTCTGTGCTCCAAGTGAGGAGCTGCTGTTAGTTTTCCACCTGCATTTTCTCTTGAAAACTTCATTCCATTATTCCTAGTGATGCTCTTCAAATACCTGCTGTTCATTATGTTCTGCCACTTGACCTGCACTCTTCTTTCCCTTCCAAGAACATCTCTGGCTCCCTGATCACTGCTGCTCCCTGTCCTTCCCATGGCTCAGCACATGATGAGCCTGTTCATTAATTCAGCCATGCTGAGTTTGTCAGGGATATGTACCCACCACTGGAGCAGCCAGGAGTTCTGGCAACACCCAGTCTCCCAAGCAGTTGTGGTGCTTCTCTCTCCCTCATTGAGAAGCTTGTGGGGTGCAGGGAAGGGGCAGACACAGAGATGTGTCCAAAAGCCAATCAGTGTTGGCAGTGAGCACCTGTTTCCCAAGATATACGGAATAAATTCTTCCCTGTGAGGGTGGTGAGGCCCTAGAACGGGTAGCCCAGAGAAGCTGTGGCTGCCCCTTCCCTGGAAGTGTTCAAGGCCAGTTTGGACAGGGATCTAAGCAACCTGGTCTAGTGAAGGCATCCCTGCCCACGGCAGAGGGTGGAATGAAATGATCTTTAAGGTCCCTTCCTAGCCAAACCATTCTGTGACTCTATGATCCCACGGGAAGTGCCCCCTGTTAGGGACAGCGCACAGCCAAGCCCCCATCTCAACAACAGCTCTCTGCAAGGAGGGAGCCCCACGCCCTGTGAGCGTGGGGGGGGTTGGCAGGCTCAGTGCACGTGGAGAGCTTGCGTGGGGATCCTGTGTGTGCAGAACTCAGCTGGAGCACCATCGTCATTGTAAGAGCTCTGTTCTTCTCACTGAACAAATTGTTCCGACAAATAAAGAATGAAAAGTCCTGCTCTTCCCACTCTTCTTTTTTTTTTTACCCTGTTCATCAGTTGGTGCCAGAGGAGGGGACTGTACCTCAATGTTGGGAATGGAAAGATGCCGGGGCAGCTCAGGAGGTGCTGGGGCTGACAAGGAGGAGAGGTTGGGTGCAGTCAGGATAGCCAGAGGAATCCAAAACACAAAATGCATCAGAGCAGGTGGCAGGGCTTTTCCTTTAAGCTTCCTGGTGCTGTTGGGTGATGGGTTGCAATATCTCCAGGTGCTGTGGGAATGGGCTGTGGGACCAGCCTAGGGAGGAGCTGAGCAACAGCAAGGCAGTGGGTTTGGGGCTGCAGGTGCTGTGGGGCTGAGCAGGAGGAGGTCTGGTCAAAGAAACCAAGGAGAAGGAAAAAAGACAGATGAAAGAGAGTGCTGAGTCTCCCAAGGGTTTCACAGAATGACAACAGAGGAATCTGAAGTCTCCTACACAGCAGTGTGTCATCCCATGGCCTGGTTCCTTATGCACACTTCAGATCAGTGGTGGAGCAGAAAGTTCCTTAACTCCTCCTCTCAATCCCCAGCTGTTCTCCCCAGTGATCCAGGGCAGGGTGGCAGTGACAGTGTTACAGCTTTTCAGAAGAATTTGTCAGGGGAAATTTTGGTCCCCAAACAACGAAAGAATCAAAACCAACACATTTCCAACTGAATTCATGATGAGACAATTAATCATCCCAATTTAAAACAGTGGAGATCCTGGAGTGCCCTAATACATAAAGATGCTTCAGGCATTGGTTGTGCTAAGTGTTTGCAGCCCATTCTCTGGCTGCCAGCAGGCACAGGGCTTCAGGCAGCAGCACTCTCTGGGTCCACAGTGTTCCAGTGGGACCTGTATGCAGCACTGCCAGGGTAATTTGAGATTTTGATGTGCCTTCTATCACAGAACAGCATAACTGTGCACAGATCCCTGTGGTGCCATACCTCTGCTTTTTAGTGTGACTGGGAACAACAAAAACTCAGCAGCTCTCCAAGAACATTTCCAAAGTCACATTTGACTTAGCCACTTCTGTGCCAGCCGCGAGTACCCATCCATCCACACTAGAGAGGCTTATCTAACTAACAGGATGGATCTTCTCCATCTCCCAGGCTTTGTATCTGGATTTACAGAGCTCTGGGGTCAGCCCTGGGTTTTGGGACTGGATAAACCGTGAGCCTTATTTGCCAAGAGCACACACCACCCCAGTGCCTCCAGACATCCCAGGATGTGTCCAAATATCTTTCCAAAGTTCCTAAAGCTTTAAAGCAATCCAGAGAAAAGAGCTGTGAGAATATTATTGCAGCACATAACTGCAATAAACCTTTTCTTCGTCCTTTCATGGTTAGAGGTATGAACATGAATTATGGCAACTTAAACCTCTTGAGAGCAGCGTGTAAAATTGCTTTCTCAAATGTCTGGTAAAGAGCATTGTTAACCCAAGATGTCAGTACTCACAAATGCTTCTGCCTGAATGAGGCTATTTTACAAGTCAGTTTAATCCTTCCAGGAATTAAACAACCCCTTTCCACCCTCACCAAGCAGCAGATTCACTC